CAATTTGGCATACCATTGCGACTTGCTTGCTTAAGGCCATACAAGGATTTTCTTAACCTGCACACCTTTCCCTTGTATTCTGGAATGTTATCCAACCTAGGTGGTAATTCCATGTAGACTTCTTCAGTTAGATCCCCATTTAGGAAAGCATTGCTTACATCCATTTGATGTAAGTGCCAACCCTTAATTGCAACAACAGACAACAAAGCCTTAACTGATACCATCTTTGCAACTGGAGAAAACGTGTCACAGTAATCAATTCCATAGACTTGGGTGTAACTTTTGCAACCACCCTTGCCTTATGTCTCTCTATATCTCCATCTGACTTCAACTTCAACCTGTAAAACCACTTTGATCCTATAGCCTTTTTACCAGGTGGAAGACCACAAACATCCCAAGTTTGATTTTCAATTAAAGCACTAGCTTCTTCTTTCATTGCATGATTCCATTCAACACTCTGTGAAGCTTGAGCATAAGAAGTAGGTTCAATGTGGGTGCTCAGTGTGCTAACAAAACTTTGGTGTTTGGAATTTAAGTGGGAATGTGACAGAGTTGCTCGAGCAGGATACTGAACATGATAATCATAATGCCAGCTAGGAGGTTTGGATTCTCTGTTGAATTTACAAAGAGGAGCGTGTGGATCCTCATGAGGTGAAGGAAATGGAGAGAATGAATGAGAGGAAGATGGAAAAGAAGAATGTGGTGTAGGAGAAAAGATTTTATATGCGGAAGTGGAACTTGGCTCAGGAGAGTCATCAGGATGTGAAAGAGAGAAATGTATAGGGAAAATGGGGGAACTGGCCTCCTCAGACTGATGATCTACTGAGGAAGTAGAGGTATCAGGGAAGGGAAAAGGAAAACCAGTAGGATTAGATGAAAAAGTTGAAGGGTCAGGAGACATAGAAGGAGCAGTGGAAGTTGAAGGAGGAAATGGTCCTGAAGGAGAAGGAGAAGAAGAAGAAGGATTTGTAGAAGGGAGGATTTGTTCATAAAAGATCACATCCCTAGAAACAAAAACCTTTTGGTAGTCAGATCAAGAAGTTTATAACTCTTGATACCTAAAGGAACTCCTAAGTACAAACACCGAGTAGCTCTAGCAGCAAATTTGGTTCGAGGAGGCCCTGTTGTAGATGCATAAGCCAAGCAGCCAAAAACTTTAAGGTTGTTGTAGTGAAGAGGGAACTTGTGTAACACCTCAAAGGGTGTTTTGTTGTGAAGGATGGGAGTTGGAGTACGATTAATCAAGTAGGCAGCATGGAGAATGAAATCACTCCAATATTGCAAAGGTAAGCCAGACTGGAACTTATTAAAACCACTGTACGAAGCTTTATTCAAAAGACCCCAAATGTCTACATGGATGATACCAAAAACAGTAGCAAACTAGCAATAGAAGTGCTATTTGGAAATGGAAGATGTTTCTGTTTTGCAATATGACAAACACTACAATGGGAAAACTTAGAGGGAATTACAACAGGAAATTGCTTGTCAACAGCTTGAACTCTAGATATGCGAGGATGGCCTAATCTGGCATGCCAGATATCAAAGACTTGAGGGTGAAGGTTGTAGGTGGAAACATCAAGACATTTGGAGGAAGTGGGAACTGGTGTCTTGGTATACAGGTAGAGGCCTCTATCAACTTGGGCTAAACCAATCCTCTTCTGTGTAATAAGGTCATGTATAACATAGAAAGATGATTGAAAGGTGAGGGAAACTGGATTGGTTTTGGTCAACTTGCTAACATACACTAGGTTGTAGCTGAAAACAGGAACAATTAGAACTTGGTAAAGAAACAATCCACATGGAAGCTTAACTACCCCTATGTGTGTGGCCTTGACCTGTTCATCAGTAGGAAGAGTCACATAAATTTCACTCATGGCTCTATACTTAATGTAAAACTTGAGATCACATACAATGTAATCTGTGGCACCTGGGTCCAGGACCCACAATGGTTCTCCAGAAGAGGCAATCAAGGCAGATAGAGAAGTGGTACCTGAACTAGAAGGGAAGTAAGCCTGCTGAGAAGCAACTCGAGTCACAGCATTCGTAGAGTGAATTGATGGTGATGATGGAGGTGAAGGACTTGGAGAAGGTGACTAATTCAACAGAAGTTTGAGCTTCTCCACCTGATCCTGAGTGAACAAATGGTCCAATCTGGGTCCAGCTCTGGAAGCATAAGAAGGAGGTCCAGAGTCCTGAACCAATGATGTTTCAACAGATCCTGCAAAACCAGCATCTGCTGCCTCTCTAGCTTTCTTGTTCTTTAGCTTTAAACAATCACGAATGAGGTGACCTTCCTTCTTGCATTACACACAAAATTTCTTGCCATCGGACTGTTGGGTTTGCTGTTGTGGGTATGGCTGTTGATAGCCTCTCCCCTTTTGAGAATTGTTGTTGTGTGAACCACCAGAAGCAAGAGCAATTTACTCCATTGTAGATCCCTTGTTCATAACCTTCAATTGAAGCTCCAATTGAAGAATGTGCTTGAACACAATGTCAATGTGTGGCAAAATTGGGAGCATCGGAACTTGGGTCGAGCTGATTGGTACTCCCCATTGAGACCCTATAGGAACTGGATTACGAAATCATTGTCCTGGTACCTTTTGAGAGTTTCATAAGGACCAGGAACACAAAAGATAAAATAAAAAAGAACAATCATCCTCCCAACTTTATTTTCAAAATTTTCCCCAATACCTTATTTCAATTCCAACCCAACAGTATAAGTGGAATTGACTAAGAGAACAAGAAATGGATCAACACAAAAAGCCGGTAGGGTAAAGCTATGCAACTGATACACCTTAAAATCAACTAATATAACCGTGTGCAAATGATTAATTTAAAAGGAGTGAAAGGTTCAGACTCCTATGGTTTCAACATCCCCAAACTCATATCCAATTTGAGAATTATCGAGTTCAAGTTTTAACACCCAAACCCACCCATTGTCTTCATAAAATGGTGACATTCGGGTTGGATTGTGTTGGATGGCACGGGTGTGTCGGTTTGCGAGGTATTTGTACATCCCTAGCCCTAGTAGTGACTGTACATGGGCTGGGGCCGTGCTTGGGCCGGCACGGCACAGGCACGCTTCGGGCCCATTTATTTCATGTCGTGCTTGGCACGGCCCGTCAGTTTTCGTGCCGTGCCATGCTCGTATTCGTGTTTAATGAAAAGGACGAAAACAAAAGAGAGCATGAAAAAGAAGGTGAAAATTGGACGGGGGAAGATAGTATTAACCGATAATGTTTGAGAAAAGTAACATATAAGGGGGAAAAGAAAATTAGAAGTATAGCGAGTGTGATTTGGCTTTGTTTAATTCTTTGTCCATTTTTACTTATGTTAGTAATTACGTATATATCTTTATGACACTTCTAACAACAACAAATAGTTATTTTCTACTTGTGTTTTGTAATATTTGAACCTATAATTCTTTTTATATTTATTTTCTATCAAATAAATATTATTTTCGTGTCATATCCGTCCTTATACTCAATAAAGTCTCAAAAATATTAGGTCCGACCCGGCCCACTTATATACCGTGTCGTGCCTCTACTCGTGCCGTGCTCTAACCGTGCCGTGCCGTTGCGTGCTAGCCCGTGGGCGGCACGGCCCGGGGCCCACGTACAGTAGTGACCATGGCCAGCCCAACTGTGTGCATGCAGCGACGTCGTTTGCAAGCTGCAAGCGGTAGCCAGCACAACAACACTTATCTGGGGAACGGCCCTTAGCGAAATTGCTCCCAAGTCCCATCTGTCTCGTCCCCACCAAATTTTAAACTTGCACAAAGGGCTGAGATCAGGTGACTAAGGGGGGTCCCCTTAGTCACATGGCTAAGTGAATCCCCACCCTTACACCTCATTAAAATCCAAGGGCTCCTATTAATCCAATTTAATGAAGGACAATATAGTAATTGCATGTTTATTTTTAATTTTTAATTATAAAATAAATAAAAACAAATTAAAACAGTCGTTCCGTCCCCGTCCTTTGCGTCGGATCGCCTCTCGTCCGCCTCTGATCATGGCCGCCATTATTTTTCCCCGCCGCCGTTCCGTTTTGGGGAAAGCTCCTTGCCGGGGCTTTTTAGTTTTGGCCCATGGCCACCGGCGCCGTCATTTTTGGTGTGGCAGGTTTAATTTTGGCCCATGGCCACCGCCACGAGAGAGAGAGAGAGAGAGAGAGAGAGAGAGAGAGAGAGAGAGAGAGAGAGAGAGAGAGAGAGAGAGAGAGAGAGAGAGAGAGAGAGAGAGAGAGAGAGAGAGTTTTTGGTCGGGAAATTATCTGATCGGAAATTTTTTTCCCGGCGAACATCGTCGCCGGAGAAGAATTTCCCGGCGACAGTGTTAATTTTGTGATGTTTGTTGACATATTTTGTAATGTTTGTATGCTTTGTTATTTTGTAATGTTTGTCGGTTTTTTTGTAATGTTTGTAAACTTTGTTATTTTTGTTAACCATGTTTGTAAACTTTGTCATTTTTGTGCACCATGTTCGTAATGTTTTTTATGTCTAAAAAACACCCGGGTTGACTTTGGGAAGGAGCCCCTCTATATAGGGATGGAGCCTCCAAAGTCAACCCGGGTGTTTTTTTCCGTTCGTATGGATTGTCGGTCTAGTTTGTCATTTTTGTCCACCATGTTCGTACTGTTTGTATGTCTAAAAAACACCCGGGTTGACTTTGGGAAGGAGCCCCTCTATATAGGGATGGAGCCTCCAAAGTCAACCCGGTTGTTTTTTCTTTTTGTATGGTTTGTATTGTTTGTCAGTCTAGTTTGTATTGTTTGTACAGTTCATACGTTTGTAATGTTTGTAAATCTGTTTGTATGTTTTGTCGCTCTAGTTTGTACTATTCGTATGTTTGTATGGTTTGTACTAATTGTAAATCCGGTTTGTATACTTCGTAATTTTCCATAATACCCAAACTACCCCTGCCATTAATTAAATAGCCCTTCCCACTTTTTAACCATTGGATTGAAGTATCCAGATCTAATGGCTAGGGGGGACCCGCACTCTTGCACAAAGAAGAAAGAAAGAACACAGGGAGGATGAAAAAAAAATAATAATTATATAAAACAATAGGCCATTTTTCCTCTCTCAAATCTCTCCGTCCTCCTTTCTTCCTTACCCCCGATCTGATCGGGGGCCATCTCCGCTCTCCCTTGTCCGTTCGACGCAGGATTCTAGGGTTTCCTTAATCGTGCCTGATTCAACATCCCAATCAGGATTCCGTTCAATCCGTTTGTGGGAAAAAATTTCGCCATTTCAGCCACATTCTTGTTTTCCTCATCTAATTCCCTTCCCGCGACGGCTTGGATCCTATTCTTTATATGGTGATTCGCGGGGATTAATCGCCGTTTTTTTTACCGGCTGGATTGTACCCGCGGACGCCTTTGATTTGTATGCGATTCGGGGTGGTGATTTCTGGAAATTAGCCGACGGGGCGGGGCAGATAGATAAGGAGTGTTCTAATGGCGTCGGTTCAGGTGTTGCGTAAACAGGAGCACCTCGAGGCTGGGAAAAGGAGGGTAGGTGCATGCATTTGCTATCTAATTCATTGATTTGGACCGCTGGAATTCCTCCGTTGATTTTGGCTTATGTGATATGGGTTATTCTTTGGAATTACCGCTTCTGATATTCTTTCTTATGTTCTTTGATTATTCTCCATTTTTGAAAATTTTGTGAATTCAGCCTCCTGTCATTTGATCTAGGCTCAATTGACCTGCAGTCGGCATTGCGTTTTGGTCTCTGTTATGGGGGTTTTCTGAACATATATGATCCCTTGAGGTTGTGAACCGGATTAAGATGTAGGATTCTTGCTTGTGTTCTGGATGTTTTTAACATCGATATAGCCAAACTGGGGGGTGGAAATGCACCTGTACAAAGTGCAAGACTGCCCCTTATATATCTAACAATCTTCGTATGGGTACATCATTCATTGCAAGGAATGGGGCAAACTGAAACTTGGTTTCATTTTGGATATAACTATATGCTATTGGTTGGTTAGCTTAGAAAATAGTATTTCAGCCAATCATGCATCTTATTAGTTCCGAAACTATAGACGATAATTGTTGTTGGAATGGCAGCAGTAGTCAAGTTTGGGCTGTTGAGTCTCTTTTGGTTATCTTACTAGCATTGGGGTCCTTATTAAGTTATATGATTTATAGTTCCATGAGCTTTCATATCTTCGGCCTGTAGGGTATCTGAATCCTGTCATTCTTGGAGGGACATACATCTCAAGCATTACGGTTTGATGTTTTTCCCCGCCCATCTTACAGTATATTCAACGGGTTCATGTAATTTGGATGGTTTTATTCTGTTGCAGCTGGAAGAGTTTCGCAAGAAGAAAGCAGCAGATCGAGCCAAGAAAGCTGGAGCTCTCGCTCAATCTCAAGGTTCTGATGTTAACATAGAGAAAAAACCGTTGGAGAAAAAACCTTTGGAGACTGAACAAGTAAGGGTTACAGCTTCAGATGGAGTTGGTACCTCCAGTGCATCTGGTGTGACTTTTCAAATATCCAGTCAAAGAAACAAGGGAGATCATCTTACCACCAAAGTTGAACACAGTACTTCCAAAATTGCGAATGCCAGTCCATCTGCTTTAAATGATTTTAGTACAATATTTTCAGACATAGGTCAGAGAAGTGCTGAGAATAGTGATCTGACAAGATCTGATGCCCTAGGCATAGAGAGGGAAGGTGTTACCAAGTATGGTCTGACAAATTCAATATGCGATTCTAGCGCTCATGCTTCTGGCCAAGGTGTACTACCGGACGGGATTCTGTCTGACCAGCCTAAGAATCCACAGGTTGCCCAGGGTTTTGATAGTAGTTTCTCCCATTACAAACATTCCGGGACAGACGCGTTCCAACAAGAAGAATATAAAAGTTCATCATGGGACTCTATAGTTGCGAATCCTGGTTCTCAAACATCTTCTCTTAACCGGGGTTCTATCTTCTCGAACTCAGAAGCTAAGCCTGGTACTGTCTCCTTCAGCAAACTTTGATGTTGCTAAGCATGGCTTGTTCCTAGGTTATTTGATTCTACTTGTACTAATAAAGCAATTTTTTCTCTTGTGTCTTGGGTTTTACAGTTGATAGCAGTCAACCTAATACCAACTTGAACTTAAGAGGTTCAGGTAATGGAGTTGAGAAAGAAATGCGTGGAACATTGCAGACTAGCGATTCCACAATTTCAGATTTTGGGAGGCGAGATTTTAAAAGTTTGGCTAGCTGGTTGCCTGGAGTGCATGGTGATTCTACCCAATTATCTGAACCCACGTCTAATTCAGGTGTCAAGGATTCATCGAATCATGCATCACTACATGGTGGTCAATATGAAACTAATTCCAGGAGGTCTCGTCCATCTTTCCTAGATTCTATCAATGTGGCAAGACCTACACTGGCATCTCCATTCTCTCAAACCAAACCATATGAATCTTTCATGCCTGTTACTTCAAATTCAAATGGCACAGATGTTCAAGAGCCATCAACCCTTACTAAGCCATTTTTGGATACTGAAATGGGACCTTTCTCAAAGTCCAAGTCATCCAGTGCACCAGATGTGTATGAACATTCATGGAAATCTTCAGTGTCCTCTTCCAATGGGTTTGATGTACCAAGATCAAATATCAATGACAATAATATAGAGGGAACACATGAGTTTTATGCCCCTCAACAGAATGAAGATTTTTCAGCATTGGAACAGGTTTGCACACTTATCTTAATATGGTTGAAATAGCATCCTGGTTTAGTTATTGTTATTCCTTAGTTTCGAAGCAGGTGTGCGCATGTCAAATTGTTTATTTCAAAATAGAAAGATCTTTGGGCAAAACAACTCTTGCCATCTTCCTGATAGCATTTTGGTCTTTAGTTACTACGTATCTTTGTAATTCCTGATATACTAAGACCATATTGACTGGCCTTTCAATATCAAGCTTATTGTTTAACTAAGTCCCGGCTTTAGGCATTATGAATGAGTTAAACGAATGACTGTGGGGCACGGTGCTGATGTGATCATGTGAGCTTGCCTTTCTGGTTTTATTTACCGCTCTGGTTCTTCACTGTCAACATTCTCAATTCCTTACTCTTTTCCAGTTTTCACTTCGCACACTTGAGTTGTTTTACACTATCTAATGAAGTTCTCCATAAAACTTACAGCTCTCAAGGAAATAGTATTAAAGTTTGGAATGGCCAAAACTAGTCTTTTGTTTTTTGGTATTATTCGGGCCTAGACATCTGATGCCATCAGTTAAAGCATTTGCTGACCTTTTGTTTCTAAAGAGTATGTAGAGTTGAAAATTCCTTTCTTATGACTACTAGTATTTTGTATACTTCATTAACTTGTCTGTTGGTATTACTGCTTTGTATGTGGACCTGTGTTGACAATCATTCTGGTTGAATGTGTTGTTATGTAGCACATAGAAGATTTGACCCAAGAGAAATTTTCACTGCAACGAGCGCTGGAAGCTTCACGTGCATTAGCTGAGTCCTTGGCTTCCGAAAATACGTCGTTGACTGATACTTATAATCAACAGGTTGGTTTGACAACCTAGATAATTTTGGCATGAACATATCTTATATTTTCTGTACGCAGTTGACCTTATTATGATTGAAGAAATACATGACTAAATCTACTGTGCTTTTGAACTTGTAGCGGACAACATTTCTTTTTGTTTCAGAAAAAAAACTGAGTGACTATCTCTATGATGTGAACATTTGATATTCTTGTAGCTGAGTGACATGTGTCGGACAACCTGTTATGGCATTAATGATTGGGCTCTAGCAATTTCTGAATTTGTTCTGTTAGCCGAGATGATTTCATGTAGGTTACTTATGTGCGAATTGTGAACTCTGTAGGCGTAATATTTTTCTCTCTCAAAGCTGCCATTAAGTATTCACTTCAGGTTTAATATTCGATTTGTAGATGAGTCTCAACTCTCAATCAATGGTTTTTTTTGGGGAAGTCGATGTTCCTGTGCTTTATGACACAGTTGAAAGCTCAAGTCCTTCATTGTCAAATTAACAAATTGAGAAGAATGAATTTCAATCGTTACTTATAAGTCAGATGGGTTCCACTAATAGAAGCACGAAAGGTATTGTATTGAGTAATTATTATACACGTCCAATGAAGCCTGGATGAACAGAGTTTATCAGGACTTTGCTTGCATTGTTTGCAGATATTCATTCAGAAAAAACTGGAACGCCTTCATATGTAACTTATTGAAACATAATTACATGCAAGTAGACTCCAGATGGATAATTCCTTACTGTTATGTCCCTAATCATCTTTTGGTTTGTTTAATTTGTTTGCATCAGAGAGGCACTGTCAACCAACTAAAATCAGAGATGGAGAAGTTACAAGAAGAAATCAGGGCCCATTTGGTTAGTAATGGTGATTTTAAAGTTTTCTATGAAGCAGATGCACTTTTAGATATCTTTTATGCATGGTCATACTTACTGCATTACTTTGTTGTTTAATCAGTGGAAAGCAGTGTAGATAAGTTGCTTAATCTAAATATTAGTCTTTTGATTTAGGCTCTTCCAACTTGCTACCCAGGCCAAATCGTATTAGTAAGATGATTCATCTGTAAGCTTTTCTACTTTTAGATATCTTTTATGCATGGTCATACTTACTGCATTACTTTGTTGTTTAATCAGTGGAAAGCAGTGTGGATAAGTTGCTTAATCTAAATATTAGTCTTTTGATTTAGGCTCTTCCAACTTGCTACCCAGGCCAAATCGTATTAGTAAGATGATTCATCTGTAAGCTTTTCTGCTACAATTTGGTTGTTTTGACTTAGGAAAGTTGTCTCTGGCTGCTAGCACTTGCGCGTCAATGCAATAGCTTTCACATCCAGGTTGTCTTGTTGCTGCTACTTATTAGTTTGCTATTGACTACCACAAGTTGAATAGCGTGAATTATCTGTGTGTGGTGACTGGACAATCCCACCGAACATGCATAAAGAATTAGTTGCTCAAAGAGTGACGGATACCATCGCTTACGTTTTTCTCATATCCGAGGAAACAGAAGTTTTTGATGGTACCACATGTCATGTGATCCCATTAATCTTGCATTTGTAACTTGCTCGATTATAGCAGTGATTCCATTATTCGGATGTTAAGTGCTTTAGAGTCACACAACTTTGAATGTCTCAAAATTTCATTTATTGGGTGGTTAATTATATTCTTATTATATATGATTGAGTTGGCAGGTGGAACTTGAGTCTGTGAAAGCTGAGTATACAAATGCACAGCTGGAGTGTAATGCTGCTGATGAGCGAGCTAAGCTATTGGCTTCAGAGGTTATAGGTTTGGAAGAAAAGGTATTGACTTGGCTTCCTCTTCTGCAGCGAAAGGCTTCTCCGTTGATACTTCCCCCCTCCTCTGTCTTTCAGTCTGAACGAGGTTCTTTGCTCTTAGGTTTAGATGGATAAGTAACTCTATTAGATCCCATTTATATAATGGTTTTACTTTTTTTTCGTGCTTGCGAATGGTAAATGGTATGCATTTGTAGTTTCCATTCTTAATCTGAAGGACGTCGTTGATTGTGTTTGTCCATTTAATTGAATCCTTGGTTACCGATACTTTGACCTATTCCAGGTATGATAGTGGCCCAAATATTTTTGATGAGGGTCCTGAACTGCGGGTTGCTATGAGTTAGTCTGTATGAACCTGTACTAGATTGGTATAATGCATAATATGCTGGAGCGGTTTAGATCAGAACAAGATAGATTTTTGTATGATCAATATCGTGTCCTATCCTAAAAGGGAAAGCAATTGGGTGGTCTGGGAGTGAGGATTTGTTGCTTATTTCTTTGAGAAATTCTTCACCTTGAAGGCATGTATGTCAGTTGCTGGTGGTGAACTTAAACGTGCACATATATATAGTTAAGGCGTAAGCTAACCTTATCGTGCACCAAGCGAGTTTTGCTATTTAAACTATGAATTAACCGGAGCTTGAGGCTTGATACTATACAGTAACCTCTAATGGGTGAACCTCAATCATTAAGTTTCTAAACTAAAACTGTAAGACCAATTTAATCAAAAGATACTAAAGGTTTTGGTTCGTCGAAGTGGGTCAGTGTACATCTAATAGGTGTGAGCACAGACATATATTATCCTTTAAGCGTACGCTAGCCCTTGTATATATATTTTCATTCTTTCTAACGAAGATAATGGAATGATGTCATTGCAGGCACTCAGACTGAGGTCTAATGAGCTTAAGCTAGAGAGAGAACTTGAAAAATCACATGCTGAGATTGCTTCTAGGAAGTATGATTTCCTTTTATTTTTCGTATCAGTTTGTTTTTTTCTTTCTATTTTCAATCATGCTGTTCATGCACTGTTGATCCTTGCAGTTGAGTCTCTGTATATTGCATGCCTACATTGCGAATCCATAACTATATAATGTGGAGAGCCTTTGAGTTCTTGAAAACGTTCAGTTTGGAAGAAATTACATGTGAATGTATCTGCAACTTTGATTAACGAGAATATCTTGGCTTGCACTCATGTCTTCTCCTGATGGTGTATCTAATTACTTTTAGAAGTGGCCTTTCTGTGGGCTAAGTAGTGGTGGCTAATAAGAACGTGTACGTTTTTCCCCTATTGGAAGGCTTCAGGAAATGCATTCAGATATTGTGACTTAAGTTTTTTTGATGGATAGTTGTGTCATAAGCTTGCTTTTAGCTCAAGGTGTTGTATCAATAGAAAAATCAGATTAAGCCAAAAGGAATGGCAAATTTCCTCATGTTGAAAGTGGTTGATAATCTTGCAGAAAGAAAATCTCCAACCTTGAGAGAGAACGCCTAGATCTACATTCAACTATTGATGCTCTTCAGGAAGGTATTCCCCCACTATATTAGTTCATTACTCGATTAAAATGAAAATTTTCTCTGGAATTGCTCAATGTGTATGCTTGATAACAGAGAAGAAACTCTTGCAATCTAAACTGAGGAAAGCTTCAACTGGTGGAAAATCTATCGATGCCGGAAAAATTACCGCCGTTAAAAGGGATATGTCGACATCTACAGAAGATTTAGGTAAAGATACATTGTCTTATTTGAACATTTTCGTCCAACAGTTCTCATTCATTTAAAATCTTCTGTTCATTTGTAACCCTTAAGGGGTTGTCTTGGTGGTAGTAGTCGATGATAACATCCAACAAACCATGGGCTCACACCTTGCATATACCTATCAACCTATGCAGAATGAAAGAAAAAGCTCCCTGTCAGCATTTCTGGTTGTGAGCAACCCATCTAGTTGCTTGTTATGGCGTGACTTTTCAAATCTACTTTGTGATTTCCTAACATCATAAAATGCTTGGGGTCTGTTTTATAGTATTATGCAATACTTATGTATTTTCTTTTTCTAATTAAATTTCTACATTGGCATACTAATTCCAGAAGTCTTTCCAGATACTTCGGATCATGAAACTTCGGATGCGGCACTCACTGGAAGTAATGTCCCTAGTTCTTCTGTTTCGCCTGAAATTGGACAGCCAGACAATGGAATTTCTCCTGCATCCATTCCTGCAGATCAGTTGAGAATGATCCAAAATATAAATGAAATAATGTCCGAGGTCTGGCATTGGCTTAACTTTTACTTCTTCTCCATGTCTGTTTCTTCCACTTAAGTAGAAACGAGATCTAAGACTGAGAACCAATTCTTCTGTGGTGCAGTTAGCATTTGAAAAAGAAGAATTGATGAAAGCTTTAGCATCCGAGTCATCTCAATGTTCGAAGTTGAAGGTAAATTTTGAGTTGATTAAGTTGTTTTCTTATATCATTGACTTATTATGTCGGAACCTGGAGGGGAATTTTCTATTTTTACTTGGTATGTACAAGAATTAGCTATCAAATTGATTCATGAGCTGGAGGTAGAAATTAGAAGTTGATTATTTGACCAACTGATTAAATCAATACTAAAATGATCTTTCTCTTATCAATATGTTTGAACACCTGAGATGCGTAGGCCATGAGAATGTCTTTATAATTTCCTGAATGATAGTTTATCATTGATGGTGCTTGCATAATGTATTACTTTTCTTCCCATGGAATAATGAAGGATTTGAACAAGGATCTTTCACGTAAACTCGAGACTCAAACTCAAAGACTAGAGCTCTTGGCTGCTCAAAGCATGGCCACCGAGAACATCGCAACTAGATTACCCGAGTCCCGTAGCATGCAGGAGAATCCTGCATACGCTGACGAAGGAGACGAGGTATGTTCGATTATCATCTCCTCTATTTGATTACGGGGGCAAGTTAAGGAGGAACTTTGTTCCCAGCCTGCCGTTTTACATGCTTGACCAACCCTTTTTCATCATCTCCCAACAATATTCCAGGTCGTAGAAAGAGTATTGGGGTGGATTATGAAGCTCTTCCCTGGAGGGCCAACAAAAAGAAGAACCAGCAAGTTGCTCTGACATCTCCCTCGACAACTGGCTGACGATAGATGGATGAATGAATGGAAGTTGCTCGCTCCGGCTGTTGTTCCCAGTCTCAGACACTCTGCGCCTTTGGATCGTTGCACCACACAGAGATCGTAATTTGTATATTGGTAGAGTTAATATCCCACCACACCCCCCCTTCAATTCTTCTGTAACTGTAAGCGATGAGAAAATGGGTTTTCCGCCATTTTTAAGTGGGTCGAAATCCGGCTAGCCATTTTTGATAGAGATGGAGATAACAATGAGTGAAGGTTCTGTTCTGTATTTGTCCCGTGTCAAGTGTACTGCACATTGGTGAACAATCGGATAGAACTGTGTCACATTGGTTGGTTAGTGACCAAAATATAAATTTATATGTGCTGGACACTAACAACAGTTGTAGGGCTGTATTCGACTATTCGTCATCTTCTTTAACCGATTGAATGGCCAAGTCGTCAACGAAGTTATTCGAAATTCGATATGCGACGACAGGGCCAGAAGCTCGAACTAAACGAGTTCCAGGATTTAGAGTGTCCCTAATGTTCCAAATAGTTGATCGAAAATTTATTCTCCCTGTCAACACGAACAACTCTACGCTCCGAAGCTCACAGAATGTTTAGATAAAAATTAGTATGCTGATGATGGTCAGTATTTGTGGTCAATTTTGAGAATTTTTTTTTTTTTTACAGTGGTCAATCTTGTGATACCGAGCCCATACCACAATAATTTAGGCTTTTCGGCCTTCTCCTTACCAAGTCCAGATCGGCTTCTTACGAAGCTGTAAGCCCAGCCCAAAACCAAAAGCCCAAAGCACAGGCAATCTGGAAACCGGGAGGCGAGAAAACGACTCACGATAAGGGAAGAACGACAACTACTTGCTAGTTGGCAGTTGCTACTCACATTCACTCACTCCAGTACCTGAATTTCAACTTTACCGGTGGGCCTCCGCTTCTCTATGCTCCGGCGGCCATGGCTGTTCTGACAATCTCTTCCCTATTATCTCTCTCTCCTCACTGCGCCACCGCTTCGTCCACTCGCCGTCAGGTCCTTCCTCGTCTCCATTGACCCCGGGCCTGCCTTAATTCTGGTTTTACTTCATCCTAGTCACCGAATTTGGAAATGAACTGTATCGTTTTCTTCTTGCAGGCGCCGCCATGGAAATCTCTGCCTATGCGGGCCGTGGAAGCTCAGGTACAGCCACGGTTTCACAACTTGCGGAAGGTTCCGATGCGCAATTTTTCGATCCGGTCATTATGGACTCCGAGAGGGGGCGTTGGGTACTCGAGCTGCAGCAATGACAACAAATTGAAGAAGCACATCGCCGGGATTTTCAGAGGGATGAGTTGCTCTGACGAGTTGGGGAAGCGCACCTCGAAGTTCTTGTTCCAGTTGGCAGTTGCCGCGATGATGGTTACTTCCGTATCTTTTGGCGTCAGCAATGCTTATTCGAGTGAGTTTTTGCTTTTTCTCTTTTTAGGAGACTGTTGGAAGAATGATTCAATCCCTAGTAATCGTTTTCTTCTCAGAGACGCTAACTGTTAACTCAGTGGTTGATCGACTCATTGCTTTAATTGCTGCGTTTTGCTGCAGGCGCCCTAAGCGAAGAGAATTTACTGTTCTTGGAGGCGTGGAGATTGGTTGATCGTGCTTATGTGGACAAAACTTTCAATGGACAGAGTTGGTTTCGTTACAGAGAAGAAGCTCTGCGCAGCGAGCCCATGAATACTCGCGAAGAGACGTGTATGTTCGTATGTTCAAATCGTCTAAATTGCCAATGTCCCTAACTAATGAGTGTTAGTGATTGATCATGTTATTTATGCAACAGACAATGCTATACGGAAGATGGTTGCCTCGCTGGACGATCCTTTTACGAGGTTTCTGGAACCTGAAAAGTTGAGGAGCTTGAGGGTATGAGGTAGTTTTGAATTTGGTTTCATCTGATACAAACTTGAGATGTGGCTTTGAATTGGTTAAGATGGAACACGGTTGGGTTGTCTCTTAAGAAATTGTTTGTGTTTCTGTGAAGGCAGTCAGGAACAGAAGGTTCTCTTACTGGTGTAGGGCTGTCAATAGGCTATCCTAATCGGTCCGAGGAATCACCAGCTGGGCTGGTTGTTATTTCAGCTTCCCCAGGAGGTCCTGCAAACAGGGCTGGCATTTTGTCTGGAGACATCATCATGGCAATAGATGATAAAAGCACAGAAGGCATGGGTATATATGATGCTGCAGACCGTCTACAGTGAGTATCTATTCATTCTGTGTTATAAGTTATACATTCATTATATGCCACCCGGACCATGTTGTTCCCACTTCCAAATCTTAGGGCTACATACAAGAGACCATTTTTAATCATTCATATAATAGTATTTTAGGTTAAATCAATTTCGTTTGTTCTCTGGCATAGGGGTCCAGAGGGAAGTTCAGTCGAAGTGACGATTCGCAGTGGTACAGAAGTAAAGCATCTGGGTTTGACGTGAGTGTACATTTGACTTTCATTGGAGCAGTGCTCCTTTACAGGGCATGTTGTTTGAGCAGATATGTCTCGGTGGCTTAACCAACTGTCTAATGCTTAACAGACGGGAGAAGGTATCTCTAAATCCAGTCAAGGCTAAACTTTGTGAAATTCCTAAATCTGGGAAAGGCTCATCTAAGATTGGGTACATCAAACTGAGTTCATTCAGCCAAAATTCTGCAGGTTGGTAGTAAAATATTCAGTTTAGATAGTGGACTTCGGATATGGTAGGATGGTTTTGACTGTCATTAGATTTGATAACATCATTGTTAGAAACCGAATTATCTAGGGTTTCTATATTTATTATTTTAATTATTATTAGGGTAAGTCTTATTAAGATTAGTAGTCATTTAATAGAATTAGGTTTATTGTTAGGGCTTTCCAGTCTTTCGTTATAAATATGTACTTTGCGTTTTATTCAGATCAGTCAATAAAGAATTATCAAAGAATTCCCTAAACCCTAATCTCCCTATCTTCCCAATTCTCGATCTCAATCCCTCTAAAGGCCTAGGCCGATTCTCTTCTGTTCTTCCCCAAATCTTTCCCAAATCCCTAATTCTATCCTCTCAATCCCTAAATTCCCAAATATCACCCAATTCAAATCCCGTTAGAAACTTTGTTTCTAACATCTGGTATCAGAGCTCGGTTCCGATCGGTGAGTTCTTCTCAACTCCATCAGGGACGACTTAGAAACCGGAGAATCGACGATGGAAAAATCAGAGCAGCCATGGGCCCAGTTGCAAGAAGAGTTATGGCAAATCGCGAACTCCTGGAAGAGGGAGTCGGCGCGAGGCGCCGCCGCCGCCGCGGCAGCAGAAGAGCAGCAGCTGGTGCGGGTTGACTTGGACGGCGACGGTGAGAGGCGAGCAGACCAGCCGGGCGCGGAAGAGGTTTTGGCAACCAAACCACCAACCACCACCGCTGGGACATCACCTCCACAAGCTGCGGCGGAAATTTCCGCCGAATTCCTCCCAACAGGCGTTCGGGATGTCGAGGACAAGGACGAGCAGCAACTGCTTCCGGCAATCACCGTTCCGCCAGCCACCATGCCTCCACCATCCGAAGTAAAAGAAGAAAAAAGAGACTGTATCGCCCCTGCCGTTGTCTCTAATAACGAGAAGGCAGAGCAACCGGCGTTGGAGGAGTTGATGGCGGCGGATTCACCGGCCACCAAAGACACATCAGCGTTGCCAACCATCGACACTGTGAAGGCCGAGGAAGCAGCTGCAGTAGCGATTGTTGTTCCAGTGACATCACCATCATCGCTAGACAAACCTCCACTGATCGAGATGAAGAAGGACGAGAGGCCCCCGAGCACGGAAGAAATTTCAACAGCCGCAGCCGCGAAGACCAAAGAACGGAACCTGCCAGCCGAGAGGTGGAAGTTCCGGAAAAAGAAGCTATTGTCGGGAGATGGCTTGGGTTGCGAGGAGCCAAGAAATCTAGAGAAGTCAAATTTGCGGCAATCCGAGCGGGTCTCCGCCGAAGAAGCAAGTAGGAGTAGAGCTCCACCACCGTCGCCCTCGATTGAAGCGACCAAGGTTCAGTCGAGCTGTTCGGAGATGACAGGTTTTCGGGACAATTTTGGCCGACGACTCGAAGAAGATGAAGCAATGGACCCATCCGGGGTAACGACCGTTGAGACGGGTGTGCGAACGCTAGTGACTCCGATTGCAACGGCAATAACACTGTTCTTGAAGTTCCAAGCCGCAGGAGAGGCGCCACCAGTATCGGCAGCTCCAAGCGGAGGAGCGACGACGGACCTGAAGGCGGCACAACAGGCGAGCGTTTCTATCCCTGTTTCGCACTCCAATCGTCGAATATGCAACTCACCGCCGGTGAAGGAGGAGATGGCGGGTCGGAAGGCGGAACAAGAGAGCAGCGCTGCGCCTCGGGTTGTACAGTGGACGTTGGCGCCAACAGAGGCGTCGTTCGATGCGGAGACAGGAAAGGATTCGCCGGTGGTTGAGTGGATGGATTCGGCGACGGCTCTCCTCGTGGCGTCTAGTAGCAAGGAGGTCACGTCGGAGAGAAGGCCGGAAGCGGATTGGCCGCCGTTGCGTCGGAGGAGTTGGCCGCCGACGAGGGAAGGCTCGAAGGTGGGACAAAAGAAGAGAGGCGGCGGCGTTGATTTCCTCTGGGAGCCTCTGTGTCTTCTTTCCTCCTTCGAAGCTGAGCAGAGAAGCTACAGAGGGCTGGGTCAGCTGGGCCAAGGATCGTGGGCCGAATGGTCAGATGACCTAATGCAAGTGGGCCTAATTTCTTGGGCCGATAGATCTGACAAAGGGAAAGGAATGATTGGGCTGGAAATAAGCTATGGGCCGAAATTTGTAGTCAATAAGCAGGCTGACTTAAAGTTAGGATACGGGCCGAGTGAACTTGTTGCTAGAAAGCTGGTTTGGGCAGGCTCCATAACAAAAGATGGGCTGAAAGAGTGTGGGCCAATTGGGCCGAAACTGAGCAGTGTTTTTAAGATGGTGCTTAAGGATGAAAGCTATGAAAGCTTGGGTGGTGGGCTTTCAAGTGAGTATGGGCCGGAAGCAATTGGAGGAACAACAAGGCAAGTATATGGGCTAATTTCAAGAAAAATGTTTGGAGGCCTTGATGAATTGGTACTCAAAGATAGGTTCTTGAATAAGATTGAATATTTGGTTTGGTCAAGTTTTGGGATGGTGATGCTAACAAAAGAGGAGCGGTTGAAGTTTGAATTCGATAAGGAAATGAATAGTGGGCCTTTAGAAATGAAATTTGAAAAGCTCGGTCAATACAAGAAGATTGGTGAAAGAAGTCTAAGTGAAGAGTTGGAGCATGATTGGAAGAAAAGGAAGCGCAAGCAGCGGAGAAGCGATGATCGGATTGGGCGAGAAGGTTGGAAGAAATGGGTCAAGTCGGTCAACCTTGAGGGCAAGGTTGGTCTGAAGGGGGAGGAGATGTTAGAAACCGAATTATCCAGGGTTTCTATATTTATTATTTTAATTATTATTAGGGTAAGTCTTATTAAGGTTAGTAGTCATTTAATAGAATTAGGTTTATTGTTAGGGTTTTCCAGTCTTTCGTTATAAATATGTACTTTGCGTTTTATTCAGATCAGTCAATAAAGAATTATCAAAGAATTCCCTAAACCCTAATCTCCCTATCTTCCCAATTCTCGATCTCAATCCCTCTAAAGGCCTAGGCCGATTCTCTTCTGTTCTTCCCCAATTCTTTCCCAAATCCCTAATTCTATCCTCTCAATCCCTAAATTCCCAAATATCACCCAATTCAAATCCCGTTAGAAACTTTGTTTCTAACAATCATTCACTGAGAAAAAAGCTTGTCTTAGTCTGTCATCTTGGTTGTAGTTTATGAAACAATTTACTGTTGCAGGTGCTGTGAAGAAAGCTGTCAGTAGTTTTAAGAGCGATGGTGTCAATACCTTTGTTCTAGACCTTCGAAATAATAGGTGATTAGCTTTCTTCTCCTGCGACTTCCTCTTCTTGACTAGGTCCCTATGTATCTTGATCTTTCTAAAAGCTTGAATTTGCTGCAGTGGTGGTCTATTCCCAGAAGGAGTTGAAATTGCCAAGATTTGGTAAGCCAAGACTCGTGCGCTCCGCTGTTTTTGGGGATTCGTCCAGCTGATGTTGCTTTCCCCCTTGCCACATTGCTATCAGTCCGAGTTTCTTAGCAATTTTTATTTATTTTTCAGGTTGGACAAAGGTGTGATTGTATATGTGTGTGACAGTAAGGGTGTTAGAGACATTTACGACACTGATGGAAGTGGCGCCCTAGCAACTTCAGACCCGCTAACAGTTTTGGTATGTTTCCTTAGTATTATGATATCACTCCGTTCCAGAGTTATCCGCCACTTGATTATTAGTGTTTCTGTTCTGAATATGGAATAGGTGAACAAGGGTACTGCAAGTGCAAGTGAAATACTAGCCGGTGCATTGAAAGACAACAAACGTGCCGTGTTATATGGAGAACCCACATTTGGCAAAGGGTACGTATATGCTCACTTTACCCAAAAAAAATTCCCAGCTAGTGCAGCAAATACACTCCTACATCATTCCCTATTCCTTTGATGTTTGTCGCAGAAAGATTCAGTCTGTGTTCCAGCTATCCGATGGCTCAGGTGTGGTTGTGACTGTTGCTCGTTATGAGACACCTTCGCACATTGACATTGACAAGGTTGGCTGGACCGAGTTTCATTTTACTAAATCAGTCTCATGTCAAATCTGACTGTGTCTCCATTCTGTATAGTCAGTTAATCTCTGGCTCCTCTCTGTGTAGGTGGGAGTGATGCCGGATCATCCTCTCCCCAACTCATTTCCAGTTGACGGTGACGATGGTCTCTGCATTTGCCTCCAAGACCCAGCATCTTGCACCTCCCGTGTGGCCACCACCACTGCGATGTAGTATTTATGCGCTCATTATCTGCTCCTGAAGTTGTTTGTTCTTAACCCATGGAGCAATAATGAGAATGACTGCACATTATGTTGTATTGCCAACAATAATCGATGTTTGTGTAATCAACCAATGATTTACGAAGTGTTGACCAAACCAAAACTAGCAAGAACATTTTCGTCCAGGAAGTCAGGAATGGGAAAACAGCGATCGACAATTGCAAGAGCAGTGATGTTCCACTGCTCTCCCTCGTTCGACTATACAAGTGGGCCTTCAGCTCTTTCAATCACGAGCCGGCCCAAATACACGAAAAGCCCAAGACGAGTCTTTTGTTTACCGGATGGCAGTCCGCGCCGGGTTTCCTGATGGGCGAACGACGCCGTAGTATGGTGTCGGTTCGCTGTATATAACCATAACTGAGTTCTTTCTACTAGCCAAGCAACTATTTCCATCGGGCGATTCGTGGGTTCTGGAATTTTTTCTCGGGGAAAAGGGCGAGGGAATTGATCGGAGATCAGCGCTGGAGATGAGGCCGATGCAGATGGATTTCTTCGCCGAAATGGAAGAGCAAGGCTCGACGGTGGCGATGGACGTCGATGACGTTGACCCGCTCGAAATGTTCAGCGAAGGCATGATGAACGAGAGCAAGCTCGCCGACGCCGATTTCTTCAACAGTTTCGAGGACGACTTCGACGACTCGGACATCAACTGAGGCGCGATTCAACTCCTCCCATGGCCGGCGAGCGCTTCTTTCTCTGTTTCTCCCATTCTCAGTGAGCTTCTCCGTCTCTTCCTTCTAGGGATTAGAATTTTGGAAAGATGTTCAGGCTTTTGTTTTACTTCACCATGCAGTGTACTGTTTGTTGAATACATATAAGTGATGTAGATTTGGAATTCTCCTGATTTCTCCTTCTCTTGTTGGTTACTATGCTGATTAGAGTCTGATTTCTCCTTCTCTTGTTGGTTACTATGCTGATTAGAGTCTGTTTGTATGTTTGGTGGGATTCCACAGCTGTGGTTAGGGTTCCTAATTTCATGATGGCTTTCGAATTAGGATTTACTATGAGTTATGAGCTAATGTGCTGAACTTTGGAATTGGCTTTGGCTCGTCTCGAACCACTGTATTGTTAGATTGTGTGTAGAGTTGATGTTTTAGCCATTGCAATTGGGAAGAGCAGCAATGCATCACAATTAACCCTGGCACTAAACATCCATATGTTTCCTTGCTCCCAGGACAATTAGTGTCCTGAGAAACCTAGCTCGAATGTGCAACACCATGAAGGCTGTGTGTGTGGGTCTATTAGCTACTGCTGTAAACGAAAACGAACCATTAGCTATCTCGTTCACCGGTTGTCTTCCCTCATTCATAACTGCATTATGTGTAGATCTGTCTGTATGCCTCTTGCTGCTGCTACCCCTTCCTGCACTCTTATGTGGAGCGAGCGGTAGCAGCAGCAGTGCTTTGGTTAGATCGCATACAACCACCCTCGAAGAATCGGTCCAACTCTAGCAGCGAGGCTGTTCAGCATTGCAAATCACGGGTTGGTACGTTAGGTCGTTTGGAAGTTGTGATTGTTAGAGTTGTGATTGTTGAATACATGTATTGTGAACAATACAATGTTTGGATGTGTCAAAGTTTAAAACAATGCATGCATTGTTTTAGGTAGGTCCCACCAACAATCACAAAAAATGATGCATTATATAATCTCAACTAAAAGTTGTGATTGTTGTGATTGTTGGTTTTAGATTTGTGTCAACTTTTTCTTTCCATTTATATCCTTAATAGTTTTTGTCTTATTCTAAAAGTTGAGGGTAAATGTGATATTTTCCCATAAAGTAACTTTATGGAAATCAATGCATAAAATAGAATCTCAACAACCAAACAATGTATTGTTAAAATACATCTATTGTATCAATACATGCATTTATATTATGGTGATTCATTACAATGCAACGATTTAACATACGCAACTTCCAAACGACCAGAGACCAGCATAGACATGATTATCACGAGCAACCAAGGGCGCACCATCGATACTCTTCGATGCAACATAATGCTTTGTTCAACATTGTATGAGGTAGAAGGGAGAGTTAAGGATTAGAAGGTGGTGGTTGTTGTTAATAGGTGATGTTGTGACTCTTTAGTGTTTATGTCCATATGCTGTGCAAAGCTAACTAAACACGATCCAAATGATTTTCTACCCCGTTCAAGTCATAAATTTCTGGAAAGTCAGACATGGACCTATATATGTTCGTGAATCGAAATAGGATGAGAGGATGTGATTCCATAAACGGAAAGAAGGAACTGAAGTGTACGTTGAAATTTATTGGCTTCTCGAGCTATTACGTATTTGTAGCTAATGTAACTACAACTGTGGAGAAGTTTTTTTCAACTATATATGAAGATTACGTTGTCGAAAAAAGTGACAACCTTCTTTATGAAATCTATTTTATTAATGTCTATATGATCTACACTTGGAACCTTAGTCGAGTTAATTGAGGAGTTTTGATGGATTGTTGAGGATCAAAGTATAGAAAATCAATCGAGGCGATTAAGAGAGATGCTCATCTTAGTGAGGCACCTATTGCATGTTACTCCAACAACCACAGTAGTGTAAAAACCAAGGTTGTCAACCCGCGGGTTGACCCCCGGGTCGACCCAGTTTGACCCGATAAGGTATCGGGTTGGAGGTCAAATTGTGTCACTTTTTCCTTTGATTTGCGAAATGTGCCTATTTTCCGATTTTTCTTTTCGCCCAACTCAATCTTTGGAATCTTAAGTTGAACATTTGAATATTTATGTTATATAAGTGTGTGTGAATTTTCATTATATGTTGGATCTAAGTACGATATGTTATTTTGGTGTAATATTATATGTTATAACTCATATGTTGGGTAAATTGCAAGTTTGGTCACTGGAATTACATTAAAATTTCACGTTTGCCACTAGAATTAATTTATTCCATCCGTAGTCACTTAAATTAGTTCAACAGTTCAAGTTTGGTCACTCTCCGTTAGTCTCCGTTAAGTTTTGCTGACGTGGCAGTCAACTCTAATAGTTGACCGTTATATGAGTGACGTGGCAATTAAAAACAAATAAAAATTAATATTTACTTTTCCATCTCATTATCAAAATTATTAAAAAAATAAAAGCTAATTACCTAATTGCTCACAAGGAGGACTTACGGAAGTGGTTCCACCTTTTCAAGTTTCAACGCCTCGCCGGCTCTTTCTCTACCGCCACCACTAACTCAACCGCAGTCTCCTTCTCCAATCCTTTCAACGACGACCCCGACGCGATGTCGCGGACAGCCAGGGATGTTGTTACCCATACCGGCTTCCCTGCTGCCGATATCTCCAAGCTTCTTCTTCACTCAACCATCGTCGTTGCGTTGGCGGATCCAATTTCGATAGGGTTTTTCCACTGCCCAGTGGGGCAATTACAGAGGAGAAAGAATTTCTTGGAGATCAGGCGGCGAGGTGCTCGATCCGCAAGAAGGGGTTTGACGGTGTTGTGACAGATCTGTGATAGTGCGTCGTTATTTTCTTTGTTCTCGTCTCTGGGTTGGTCCCGTTTCAGCATCAGAACATGATGAGGCTGCACAATAAAGCTTTCAAGGCGGAGTTGGAGTGTTGCCGTGAGACGAGGAGGTTGATCTCGAAGTTTTTGATGGTAGGCTGTGACAAAAATGGAAGAACTCCAGCGGAATCTATCCCCACTTGGGGCAATCGTGTTCTAATACTCTCATCCCCTCTCCAAAATCTCACTGTCCCAGAACCCGACTCCCCACCAATCATCGTTGTCGAGCAAACTTGATCACCCTCAACGGAAACGGTATGAAGCTTGCGTTGCTGCCGAAGTAAGGTTGAAGACGACAGTGGGTTACAACTGGGAGTGATCGGAGAGAGGTAGGGGAAGAGCTAGGAGTGACGGTGAGGCTCCGAACCGGAACACATGATTCCATATTCAAATTTAGGAAATCGATTTAGCTCTCTGCTGAAACCTGAATTCAAACGCGAGAGAAAAAGCAAAATCACCTCAAACTCTGCAGCAGTGACTGCCTTGCAAGGAAGTTGGAACTCAGCCAGTACAACCCTCTATGAATCCATAACAAACTCAATTAACAAAAGATCCCCCTAGAAGCCGCGAACCGAAGAAGGTTTCACGAAAAATTTCATTCTCATCACCTGAGCTTCGGTCGTCTGAAGGCGGAACCTAGACCGGAATAGAGCGGTCCTCCCTGTGAGCAATTAGATAATTAGGTTTATTTTTTATTTTTAATAATTTTGATAATGATTATGTGGCAAAATAAAATTTTTATTTTTTATTTTTTATTTTTTAATTGCCACGTCACTCATTTAACAGTCAACTATTAGAGTTGACTGCCACGTCAGCAAAACTTAACGGAGACTAACGGAGAGTGACCAAACTTGAACTGTTGAACTAATTTAAGTGACTACGGATGGAATAAATTAATTCTAGTGGCAAACGTGAAATTTTAATGTAATTCCAGTGACCAAACTTGCAATTTACCCCTCATATGTTAGATAAGATTTGATATAATTTATGAGGATAAGTACAATATAATGACTTTTTAAATATTTCCGGGCCAAACCGGGCTAAAACGATTGACCCATTAACCCTTGACCCACTAGCTCGACCGGGTCCGGGTCAACCCGCGGGTTGACAACCTTGGTAAAAACACTTATCCCATTCCTGTGAAAAGACGGTTGTTGAAATATGAACCTTGAATAGGAAAAAATCCCAAGTTACACATGTTTTTAAAAAAAATTCTCAAAATACACACGTTATGAAAATAATTCTCAATCTACGCATGTTTAGGCCATCACCGCTGTCGACGAAGACAGTGATTGCATCACTGTAGTACACGGCCGCGGTGAAGGCCTGACCTGCGTCGAAACTTTAAACAAACGTAACTTTGTGCTCGGTTATCCGATCGTAGCGAAATTTTTTTTGATTCCGCATAATTTTTCGAGATCTTGCAAGCCGCAAATTTCCGTAGGCGGTTTGGTCCCGCCTTCGTCTCGAAAATATGTCGTTTGCTACCCCGAATGAGCCTTTTTTCGATTTCGTCAAACTTTGAACGACCATAACTTTGTGCTCCACAATCCGAAAATCATAATTTTTTTTTAATTGTTGCTTTATCGTTAGACTATCTTACCTTTGGTTTCATAAAGTTATTATTGAATTGCTGCTAATTGGTTCAATTTCCTTATATAGGCTTTATGTTATCTTGAATCAATGCCATTATGTGATGCTCGATGAAATTGATTGAATGAGCAAATGTTGATGTATTAAAAAGGAAATGGAATGTTGTGGAAAGAGAAAAATTGTGGTTTGGGTTGGGCCACATTGGTCTTGGAGGCTTATTCACTTAGAACTAAAAGGAAGTATTATTGTGTCGGAACATGATTTGTGTCTACGAGTAAAGAAGACAGAGAAAACAATGGTCATCCTTTTGTTTGTTTGTGCATGTAAAATTTGGATTAGAACTTCTATGGATAACCAATTTTTTCTATGTACGCGATGTCAAACATCCTATATACTTTGGTGAATTCTATAGAAAGATTAAAGTATCCCCTACTCTAACATTGAGTTACATCACCACTTAGTACTTACTATCCCTTGGTGACTATCAATTGTAAGCGACACAATTACTTCTTAAATGGTACATACTTCAGAGACATAATAAGGAACATATACGAATAAAAATAACAATCATTCTCATTATTAAATTATTGTATCAATACAGGGTATAATAGTAGTCATTTCATCATATAGTAACATCCTTATTCAGCCCAATTCTAATTGACCAGTATTCATCTAATTCTTTTTAGATGGAAATGTCTAAATCATGATGATATGATTGTTGCTCCCTTGTAATCTTTCACAAGTAGTTTGGAATATGTTGCTCAATTAGTTTATAGATATGTTAATTCTATAAATATTATTCGACAATGGGTAAAGGTATGTGAAGGGATCCGAACCTCGGACCTCAAAAGGATTGTGGTTGGATTGTCCTACAAGATTGAATTCCACATATATGATGCTTGACATAACTGAATTTTATCGTCCTGCTTTTGCCAAACTAAAATTGATTGACAAGAGCTTTGAGGGGTGTCCTCCGGAGGAAGAGTGAAATAAAATCCCTAAGATTTGTAGTCTTTTGAAGTTTTTTTATGAGATTACTACTCTTTCTGAGGAGTAAATTACCCAACATCTTATATGTACTTAATTAATGTATGAAGGATCGAGTCAAAGCTACTTCAAGAACACTGGCGGATCCAGGGGGTGGCCACCCCGGGCCCCGGCCCAGCCCTCCTCTGGATCCGGAGTTAGTATAGTCTTTATGAATTTTTCGATTTTAGTTATTCGGTCCAGTTTTATTTTATAATAAGATTGAGTGTAACTAGAAAAGTGATTCAAATTAACATATTCAAATCACTACTATAAATTTAGCCTAGAAATTCTAGCTCCAAAGATTATTCTTCTAAAAAAACAATGAAATCTAAAATTCTAAAAGTCTAAAACAAAATAGTATAAGAAATATGAGTTTTGTTCCCTGAAAATTTACTAAAGCAACTAGTGGAGAACCTTTTCAACAATGAAACATATGAAAACTGATTTGTGCAACAAAACAGCGATGAATTTCTCACCGATTACTCGAGTATTTTATTTAAAACAGTGTATACTATTGGTATGGATGTGGACTCCATTATTGATGTATTCGCTAAATTAAAATATCGTCGTGCATAATTTATATTGTAAAAAAAACTATAATATTTTTTTACGGTTCTAATTTTCTAATGAAATGCGGCCTAGTGCTTTTCTGCGTTCTGGATCCGCCGCTGTTCAAGAATGAAATAGTGGTGATGGTGATATAAAAAAAATGGCTACAACAATGTGGATGAATTTAGACTAATATTGACAATCTTATATTGCAGTTTTTCTATGACTATGGTATCCATGCTATAATATGGACTTCGTGGAGTGTTGCTATGAAGATTTGCATGGTCAAGCTATTGAAAAGATAAAAACGTGATGAACTTTATAAAAAGTTAATCTTCCAAAGGATTATGAAAATAATGGTGGAACTTCAAATGAGAATACACCTACTTTCTTTAAAAAAAAACTTACTTCCAGATGTAATTGTCCTAACAAGTTCTTCGATAGCTATCTTGAATTTCTCGGGTTAGCCCTTGTAGAAAAAAACTTACTTCCAGATGTAATTGACCACACAAGTTCTTCGATAGTGATCTTGAATTCCCTAGATCTGCCCACCTATAGAAAAAAAACTTACTTCCAGATGTAATTGCTCAAACAAGTTATGTGATAGTGATCTCGAATTCCTAGGGTTTGCCCCTATAAAGAAAACTTACTACCAGATGTAACCACCAAAACATTTTTTATAGTGATCTCGAATTTCCCAGGTTTTCCCTTATAAAAAAAACTTACTTCGTGATGTAATTGCCCAAACAAGTTCTTCGATAGTGATCTCGAATTTCCTGGGTTTGCCCCTATATAAAAAAACTTACTTTGTAATTAACTACTCTCCCGAATTCCTCGAGTTTAGCCCTACATAAGAAAAACTTACTTCTAAATATAATTAACTCATCTCCCAACATAAATCGACAAACAGCAGGACAACAACCCGGACATATATGAGTTAGACCGCCTAAAGGCTTCTTTAAGCTCAACATCGAAGCAAGCCTATTGAAGCCGAAGGGAATTGATATATGTGACACTATGAAGGAATGGATGGGAATTTATGCATGGGGTTTGCTTGAAGAGAAACAAGCCAGTGACGGGTGAAAGAAGCAAACCCAAGGCGTTATGGATGGGAATATGATAGATCGAGAAGAGAGGATTCTTATTAGTGATTATCGAACACGACTGCCAACTCTACTTATGGTGCTCCATGTTAAGTGTTTGGAGTCGTAGGTTTGAGATAGAAAAAATCAGGAGTATATAATAGTGGAATACCTACATTCTCACAAGTACTACTTGTATTTGACAAAGGAAGATGTCGTAGCAGCTCGTCTGGAGCACATCTGTAGTTAGCGCTTTCCTGAAGCCGAGGATGCGAATCCCGCCAGCCAGAGCAGAATTCTATCTACTGGGTTTGTGTTCCTGTTTATGTTTATGATCTTCTTCATCTATCGAGCCCTCCCATCAGCCGAAGGAGTAGAATAGAGAGTGGATAGTAATTAGGGGAGGGTTAACTATATATGTATTTAAAACACAGTTTATTGATAGGAAGGGCGACTTATTACAGGAAAACATTCGTTTAATTAACTAATTATCAATGTTTTGGGATTCCTCAGTTGGAGAGGAAGATTTGTACTTTTCTGATTTTGAGAATGATACCCAAGTTTCATGCTAAATTTGCGCTTTCTTGGCTAACATCTCTGAGTAAGACATGAATCTTGGATAATAAGACAGAAAGAAAGGGTCCTCCTTCCCTAATGGATGAGTTTATGTGATACATTTCTGAAGTACATACAAATCAACTTCTATTACATTGAAATTTTTTTGGTTCGAGTTTTATCTGTTGGCTCCTGTGTCCAGGATGAGCATTTTAATGATTGAACAAAAGAACTTTTTGGTCTCAACGCTTCCAAATAGCTAGCTCTGCTAATGGTGCTCCATGTTATGTATTTGGAGTCGTTGGTTTGAGATAAAAAAAAATCAGGAGGAGTATATGATAGTGGAATACCTGCATTCTCACCTGTACTCCTTGTATTTCGCAAAGGAAGATGTTGTAGCAGCCCGTCTAGAGCACATCTGTAGTCGGCGCTTTCCCGAAGCTGGGGATGGCAATCCCGCCTGGCAGAGCAAAATTTTATCTGCTGGGTTTGTGTTCCTGTTTCTGCTTATGATCTTCTTCATCTATCGAGCCCTCCTATCAGCCGAAAGAGTAGAATAATGGGAGGGTTGTAAATAGGAGAGAATTAACCATGTATATGTATTTGAGACGCAGTTTATTAATAGGAAGTTTATTAATAGGAAGGGCGGCTTATTGTGGGAAAACATACAATTAATTAACTAATTATCAATGTTTTGAGATTCCTCCATTGGAGAGGAAGTATTGTTCTTTTCTGGTTTTTGAGGATGATACCCAAGTTCCACGTTAAATCTGCATTTTCTTGGCTAGCATCTCTGAGTAAGACATGCATCTTGGTTAATATGACAGAAAGAGAGGGTCCTCCTTCCCTAATGGATGAGTTTATTTGATACATTTCTGAAGTACATACAAATCAACTTCTATTACATTGAATTTTTTTAGGTTTATCTCATGGCTCCAATGCCTAGGCTGAGCAATTTAATGATGGAACAAAAGAACTTTTTGGTTTCAACGCTTCCAAATAGCCAACTCTGCTAATGGTGCTCCATGATATGTATTTGGAGTCGTTGGTTTGAGAGAGAAAAATAAGATGAAAACTCATTGTGAAGAAGAAAGCATAGCTTTCGAATCCCATAAATGTGCATTTGCGAAAACACTTGTTGATGGTATAATCCTCTTGGAGTAGGGACTTAGAATATGTATTCTTGTCTTCTTTCAAATGGATTATGCATTTTCAAGTGACTTGATATTTAACATGATAAATAAATAAAAGGAAGAGATAAAGTGGAAAAAAATTCACGAATCAAGATATTGAATCTCTCTAATTATTAGAGATTTGATATCCGTAGATTTTAGAGATTTGAAATATCTAAATCTAAAATCTACCATACTAAAAGTAACAAAAAAACATAGCTTTTTAGTTTCTACAAAATGCACGGATTCAATGAATCTCCAACCTAAATCTTGTTCTCCAAACGACCCCTATAAATATTTACATATATTAATTCTACTAATTTTACTAGAAAAATGAGAAGGGGGAAGTTGCAAACATCTACACTTGGATTCCTTTTTATTTCCTGAATTCTGGCTGGATCGATCCATGTGCCAAGGCAGAATGCAGCATGAAAACAGAGGGCCAGAAAAGCCATAGACATAGTTTTATTGCGTGGTCAACAGAAGAAGGAGCCAACATAAATTTTGTAGTGAGATACGCCCATGTTGAACAAGGCCAAAGGTGTCCGCTAATTCGGCACTTTGGTTTGTTGGACCAATCTAAACAAAATATTCACCCGATTTTCGCACATGTATAAAACCAGGGTTCCAATATGACCTACTTCAAATGGAAATCATGTGGCATTGGATGTGATCAGTTGACACAAAGGATAATCCCTCGTTGACTCTCGATCGAGTTGTATATCCCTTTAAATGGCGAGAATGAACTCCGAACATTATTACTCTTACAATGCTATCTTACGGAACTATAACGTTGGTTTTGAGAACTTGAATGTAGCACACTATGAGTAGACTCTATACCGGAATTGCTTCTATTATTGGTCGGCGAGAAGCCTGCTCGTCATCATAACAGTCTTAGCTATAGTAGAACCAAAGGGTCTTATGGCCTACAAATTCAACATAACAGTCTCTAAGCATGTAGAATACATGCCTATGGTTTCATTGAATCCAAATCCAAATATGTAGGAAATACATGAACAATATATAGAGGAGAGAGTTGTCCTCTTCATTTCACTTGAATGATTGAGTACCCTCAGATACAAAGTTCCTTAAAGAGAGAACAAAAAGAGCTCTTCCAAGAGAAAACAAGTTGCAACAAGAAAAAAAAGGTGCAAAAAACCAACCAGCCTCATCTTCCTTTGTTCATAAAAAAAGGAAAGGAAAAACAGAGGGCCCAAAATATGTGCACTTCTTGGCCATTTTCTTTAGGAGAGGGCTAATTACTTAAGCTGTTGCTTTCTTTTTCTTTTGTTTCTTTTCCCTATATAATTATTTCTACACCCAAAACCCAGAAGGAAGGAAAAAAAAAGGTTATGGAACTGATTCAGTCCCAATTGACCCAGCAAAGCTCTAGGACATTAACAAAGGGAAGTTTTTTCCTCAGAAATGGGAAATGCATCTCCTGTGCTTGGCAGCCATTGTCTTCTTCTTCTGTTTAGTCTCTTCTTTCCAGTTCTTGGCAACATCCATTGCCACACTAATGGCATCCAGAGATGCACCTGAGAGCCCTTTCCTTGTGAACCCAACTGCATACAGCCCTGCTTTCCCTTTCCACCCATTTGGGAATGGATTCTTTGGAATCCCATCTTCTGAGAAGAAGTCATTCTCCTGAAAACACCAAACCCAGAAAAAGTTAATACACAAAGAAGATTTCTCCATTCCCAAAATAGGAAAAATACAGTCTTTATGTCTAATGTTTCTTTCCGAAGAGGGGAAAGAAAGAAAGAAACATCCTACTGTCAAGCTTTCTAGATTCTCTTAAATGGGTGTCTAATTGGCAAAGGTAAAAGTGCCCAGAAACAGCCAAACAAAGCCCACCAGATTCCCCCCCATCTCTTTCACTGAAACCACCAACCACAGGGAGTCCTGCAAGTTGGGAATTTTCATTTTATTGAACTCTATATAAAACCCCCCCTTTCATTCCTTGTTTGTTACCCTTTTGGGCAAAGTCAAAACCCTAACTGTCACATGAAACCTGGAAGCTGAAACGATTAGGAAAAAAGAGTGTGCTGTGCTGTAGGCTCACCTTTAGCCATGAAGGAACATTGCTGCGATACCCAGTTGCCAGAATCACGGAGTCGATCTCCAGAATCTTCCCATCGACAAGCTCCACTTTCCCACTGCTGAACTTTTTGATTCCGGGGACAACCTTAATCTCACCAGATCGCACTTTTGCCAGCGCCCCAATGTCCAAAACTGGGGTCTTCCCTTCCACGTTCTTGAGCTCTAACGGCCCAAGGCTTGGCCTTTTTAGTCCATACTTCTCCAGATTCCCCTGCATCACCCTGGCGGCAGCCAGCAGTACTCTGTCCACCATCCTCAGTGACATCCATTTCATCAGCGTCACCGCCAGCTCGAATGTTGATCTTCCCAGAATCTCCCTTGGAAGTACATGAACCTGCAGATGGGAAGTCATAAAACAAGCCTAGCTCCATCAGAGAAAGTTCTAAAGCAGGGGGAAAACAGAGGGAAAAAACAGGGGAGAAAGTTCAAAAGCAGGGGAAAACAGAGGGAAAAAACAGGAGAGAGTTTAAACTTTAGAGCTATGCGACTCACCGAGCTTCTGACCACCATTGATGGATTGGCATTGTGGTTGCAGAGATCAAGGGATACTTCCATGCCGGAATTCCCGCATCCGACGACCAGAACACGCTTCCCGCGATAACTCTCGCCGGATTTGTAGTCACAAGCGTGGCTGACATCGCCGGAAAATTTCTCCAACCCTTCAAATTCCGGCACCACTTTTTCAGCATTCTCTCCGGTGGCCACCACCAGCCACCTACAGACATACTCGATCTCCACCGGGACCGGCCCGATGTTCGAAACGGTCTGGACCCGCCAGAGACCAAACGTCTCGTCGTATTTCGCGGACTGGACCGTTTCGTTGAAATTCGGGGAGATGTCGAAATTCCTGGCGTAGGCTTCGAGGTAGGTGATGAACTGAAACTTGGAAGGGTACTCTGGAAATTCCTCGGGGAATGGGAAATTGGGTAGCTGACAGAATCGCTTGGGGAGGTGGAGTTTGAGGCGATCGTAGGTCCTGTTCTGCCAGAGAGAGGCAATGCAGTTGGCTCGCTCGAGGACGATGAAAGGGACGCCTTGTCTTTTCAGGCAGGCTCCGACGGCCAGGCCAGAAGGTCCGGCGCCGACGATGACGGGCCCGTTGACCCATATGCAGCGGCGGGACGACGAGAAGAAGAAGTCCTCGCGGGTGGGAGTTTGAAACATGGCGAGTAAGTCGCTGCTATTAAGACTAGTGGCGGTGTACATCTTAGCTAATAGAGAAACAGGGGATTTGAGGAAAAGTGTTTGATGAAATGACTGAACGAGAGAGTTTGTGTATCTGTTGTGGTTTCTTTGGAGTTTTGAAGTTGTGGCGTGGAGGGGAAGAAGGGATGGGAGGAGGGTTTAAATAGAGAAGGGGAAAGGGCTTTGGATCGGTGATAATGGGTTTTCTGAGAAGTGGGAAGTGGCACATGCTATTGTGAAGAGAAGAAAGAAAGAATGGTTTTCTTTCATGGCCAAATGATAAAAAGCTTCTGGGGTGGCCGCCATTTGTTTTGTTAAGTTCATTATTTTTTGGGGTTTGTGAATTTCATTCTTCCATGTATTTAGGTCGAGTCATATTCTTTCTACATATAATTTAGTAATATCTTTGAAAATGGGTCTTCTGAGGTCGACCTCAGGGGATCCATTTGTGTCTCTGTTTCCCAAGCAACCCAAATCAGGTATACAATGTATATCACATGGCTCTCAGGCATGGAGTATAAGTTATTTTGTGGTTGTGTAATATTTATGTAGTATATTTGTATGTTATATGATAGTTGTATAATGCCTTTGTATCTTAGTTAAGGTTCATGGTCTCCATGTTATGAAATCAAGATCTGATGAAATTTGTTATGTCTTATTATTGAACTACAAAGGGCCTTATATACCATATAAAGGTTAATTTCCATAACAATCTAATATAAATAGGCAAAATACCTAAATTTTTAGAACTATAGTAAGTGTCACTATGACAACTTACATAATGATACTCACACTTAACTCAATATTAATCATGCTAATCATACACTCATACTCTAACATGACAAACAATACGACTTTGACAAGAGATCTTATTGCATCTAGTTAATCACATCAATGTTTCATGGGGGCATGATCGATCATCATCCTTGTAGTTGTGTATCGAATATTAATAGTAGTTTTGATCAGTGTAGTCAAAATCGCGCTTTAAAGCGTAAAATCGTACGATTTTACGTTTTTAGGGTAGGAAAACGTTTCAAATCACTAATAAAATCGTTTTTCACTCAAAATCGGTCAAAAGCGTTAGTAGAATCGTTAAAATCGGTGAAATCGTATAAAATCGCGTTTTCAAACCGATTTTATCCGATTTCAAGCTAAGGAGATAACTGCCTCCACCAAACCAAAACGACGGCGTTTTGTGCACTTCGGACAAAAAAGAAGAAGGGAATAGGGTGGATATCGGGAGGAGGCTGCCAAACTCTTCCAAAATCCCTAATCTTTGTCTCCTCTCACCAGCACTCCAACGAGGCAGGCCTGCCACCGCCCTCCTTATTCGTCATCGCCTGTTGCCGCCGTCACGAGGCAGGCTTTCCAGGCTCTAGCGAAGAATCTGCAGCTACTACAAGGCTTTCAACCGTTGCGCCAGTCCACCACCTTCAAGCGAAGAATTTGCAGATGCTACAAGGCTCCAAGCCTCCAACACGACAACGTCCGTCGCTTATCGCCCGTCAGACTCGTCATCGCCTGTCGCCACTCGCCGACGACACAACTGGTTAGTTTATGTCTCTTCCTTAACCTAGCCCATCGCCACTTTAGTCTTCACCAATTTGAGTAGTTGTGTTTCATTGTACATCAGTAAATATGAAGATTCGTCGTCTACTCAATGAAGGGGAAAGCAATTATTTTTATTAGTTCCTGGACAAAGAGTTGGATTGTACGATTAATTTATATAGAGGCGAAGGTGGAAACAACGGTGGTTGTTGTAGTGGTGGGAGATCGATGGATCGAAGAGTACAGCGGAAGAGCCATGTGGTCATGGCTCATAGTTTGTTTTAATTTAGACATAAATTACAGGTATTTATTCTTTTATCTAAATTCTGTGGACTCACATTTTACATAGTTTATGTCGTATTTAACAGATTTTTAACTATTATACAGGATGCATAAAAACTTACGCTTTTACGCTTTTGTTTGAACCTAACTGAGTGTAGGAGTGAGGTTCGGGGAAGAATGTGGGTCAAGAAGAACACAAGAGGGGAAAATCGTTCAGAAAGATGAGAACCAGAGAGTTGGAATTTTAGAGAGAGAAGTTGGTGTTCTAGAGATAGAATGTCTAAAATGCGATCCCCTCACCCACCAGAGTAAATGCCGTATTTATAGGCTACAAGGTGGTGGGTGAGTGGTTGAGTTACATGATGTGACAATGACATGACCACTGACATGTCAGGGATTTAGGCCATGCCACTACCTAGGACATGTCAGAGGTGTACCTACGACCATATCTAGGACTCTGATGTGACCATCCCTCGGGAAACGTGACGGGGCTTTTTGCGGCTCTGTGGTCTAGTCTCCGCTTGTGCCTTTCCCTTCGCGCGTAGCTTGTGCCGCGCTCAAACTCTTCGCGCTAAGGCGCACTGGAGGTCTTTGATCGCGTCGCGCACTAGCGGGTCTGGCGGCATTTGGGCTTGTGTTTGGCGCGTTTCCCTGGCGTGGCTAGGTCCGAGTCACATGCCCAACATGTGGGGTCGCGCATGTGGTTTGGAGTTGCATCCGCAGACAGAAAGTGCTCACATGGTCTTCGGGGTCGGTCGTGCCGTTGTATGTTGGGAGGGTGGGTGGCGCTCCGCTTAGGTGCTCCGCCATGATTTCCGCGCTCAACGGTTGGTGGAGGACCTTTCTAGGTGGGTTGGGTCGGTATTGCGGAGACAAGTGTTGCTCCAAGAAACTGAGGTCCGCCCGCCTTGGCGGCTCGACTCCCCGCGTTTCTCACGCGGGGAATTCTGTTGGCGCGTGTTGTGGTAGGTGGGCAGTTCCCGACGCTTCTCCCAAGGCCTGTTGAGGCGCGACTGCCGTCGCGTCCATTGTTGCCGCGGCCTCCTTGCTCATCATGAGCGCTATGACTTGGCTCATTTGTTTTTGCATGTCAGCTATGACACTGTTTTGCTTCGACACCAGCTGCCTCATTTCTTTGGCTGTCTGCTCGGGCTCCTCCTCTTCGATAAGCACCGCGTTGAGGTTGCTGGCTTCTGCGAACGCCCTCGGGTCGGTCATTGCCTTGATGGGCGTTGCTTCGTCAGGCGAGTCGTGGTTGCGTTCCGCCATTGGTTGATTTTCTTTTGCGTTTCTTCTTGGCCCCACGGTGGGCGCCAATGGTTTGAACCTAACTGAGTGTAGGAGTGAGGTTCGGGGAAGAATGTGGGTCAAGAAGAACACAAGAGGGGAAAATCGTTCAGAAAGATGAGAGCCAGAGAGTTGGAATTTTAGAGAGAGAAGTTGGTGTTCTAGAGATAGAATGTCTAAAATGCGATCCCCTCACCCACCATAGTAAATGCCGTATTTATAGGCTACAAGGTGGTGGGTGAGTGGTTGAGTTACATGATGTGACAATGACATGACCACTGACATGTCAGAGATTTAGGCCATGCCACTACCGAGGACATGTCAGAGGTGTACCTACGACCATATCTAGGACTCTGATGTGACCATCCCTCGGAAAACGCGACGAGGCTTTTTGCGGCTCTGTGGTCTAGTCTCCGCTTGTGCCTTTCCATTCGCGCGTAGCTTGTGCCGCGCTCAAACTCTTCGCGCTAAGGCGCACTGGAGGTCTTTGATCGCGTCGCGCACTAGCGGGTCTGGCGGCATTTGGGCTTGTGTTTGGCGCGTTTCCCTGGCGTGGCTAGGTCCGAGTCACATGCCCAACAGCTTTGATTCACCGCTTTTCGATTTTACCCCTTTTACGCTTTTAGGTAGAATCGCGCTTTTGACTGGATTGGTTTTGATTAGTTTGAATTCTATTTTTTAGAGTTGTTGATAAGTAGTTACGATCAATTTGGAGGGGTATAGTCGGATTTCCTATTGACAGTGGCTTTTCTAGGATTAATAGTAGTTTCGAGTCATTTATTTTTATTGTTCAAATTATTGGTTAATTATCTCTTTGTTACCGATGAGTGTGTCTTGGTATGATTTTCGTAACTGGCTTGTGTCAATTATGTAAGTATATGTATCTATTTTGCTTTTGATGATTTCAATCATATATACAATTAAACATTCAATATTTGGATGAGTGTTTTTTAGTAACGATTTCAAGATTATTCTCCTTCTACAATAGAGAAAGAAGTTATTTTTCATGATCAGAAAGTTAAATTTAGTTTTTTAAATCTACTTAAAATGATTAATGTGACTATTAGACTAATATGAAAATCAACAAAAAAAAAAAAAAAAACCCACTATAGCCCAATTGGTTAACTTATATAACTTTCATATATGAGATCAAGTTCGCTCCATGGAAAAAACACACATTCATATATGAGATCAAGTTCGCTCCATGGAAAAAACACACATTGCATTTTTCTTACAAACTATAAAGAAAAGAGACCAAAATTGGTGGTTCAAGTCAGAAAGTTTGTCCGATTGATTGGTTGAACCGATCGTGAAGTGGCCAACAAGTTAATGGCCCGTTTTAAGGCCCGCTTCCAAAACCTGATACACGGTCATCATGTCCGATTATTTCTGGGGGCGGACCGTCCGATCCAGTTATGATAACATTTCTTAAAAAATATTCCAGACCCGAAAACGATTCTGGCCGAACCGAAGTAATCTCTGATAAGGTGAGGGTGATGGGTACAGTACTATAGATATTTCCCCAAAGTTATCCTGATCTAGACCAAACATGAAGCAATACATGTATTGTGAAAATGCTGCCATTTACAAACACCTACATGGATGGATGGATCCTGGTCAAAAGAATACCATGATGGAATCCACCATCTCGCAGATTTCACAATTGGGTAACCCTAATCAACTTTTCATGCCCAAACGGCAAATACCATATACGGTTGAAAGCTAGAGATTCCATCGGCCATATTTACAGAGAGCATCATGGGCTCTCCACATTCTAAGGGTGGCTCGATTCCTTTTTGCCTTTGATTTTCTGATTCGAAGAAAAGAAAAAGATCGACGGCTGATCACCAACCAAATCCTCATCATAGAGGAATCATTCTATTTAATAACTAACATACTAGTTT